AGAGCTGCTTGAAAAACGTGTTTTTCGCTCTCGGGCCAACCGTCGTCTAGTTTTGTCATCATCCCTTTTGGCAAGGGATTTTTTGTCCTCCTCTTCAACCCTTGGTTTTTTGGGCTGTGGTTTGCAGCAACCCCCAATCTGCTGCTCTTTGCTGCTCAGCTGCCAGCTGTGGCTGGGAGGAACCCGGCTCCTTTTGGCAAGGAGTTGCTGTTGCTGCAGCTGGTGCTGCTGCAGCTGCTTGCCTTGCTGCTGCCAAAGTTGCTTGGTCCCTGGGTATGGCATTAAAGCCATTGACCATCTCCCTTCTACTTTGGGGGACGGTCCCCACCCCAGATGGCTTATTGGCCATCCCATTTGTCCTAGTCAGCCATCCCTTTGGGCAAGGGGTATAAAAAAAAAAGAACACACACCCCGGGATCCCTTTTGGGATGGAAAAGGAGGACTTGGCGACCCCTTTTGGCAAGAGGTTCAGAACAGAAGGCACGGTCACAGCGTCCTTTGGGCAAGGAATATGTGTGGTCTCTTGGTTCCAAAACTTGTGCCAATAACTGCAATCTATCTTGTGAACCCCCTTTACACATTGGCTTCTATCTGGTTCTGAATACACAAAAAAATCTTAACAACAACATTCCCCTTAAATCCCCAAACAAAAAAAATGATGGGTTCACACACCTGCCCGCACTTCCCATGCTACCAGGGGTGGTGCATCATATTGGCACGCAGTAGTGAGTCAGCTGTCAAACTCACCCCTTTTGGCCAGAGGTTTGTGCAACCCTTGAAAAACCTGTACCACCTCTTTTGCCAAGAGGTATGTTGCATCTCTTTGCAGGCCACTTTTGCCAAGAGGTCTGGTGCACTTGTTTGCAGCCTCTTTGGCACCCCTTTTGTCAAGAGGTCTTGCATGAAGCTCTTAGCTACTCTTTTGGCAAGAGGTCTTCACCAAGTGTCATAGCACTGCTGTCTCAGGTCCAAGGCTTCAGCCTTTGTCAAGTGATCCTTCTCCAGCTTCTCCTCGATGTGCTCCAAAATTTCCAGGTACTTGGGGTGGTTCTTGTGGGTGGTTTCCACAATCAAGGAAAGCTTTCCCTTGCCACTTGTGTCTGTTGTGCCTGTGATGTATGCCCTAAATGGTTCCTTGCTACTTCTGGTCACCCTGAGCTTTGTCCATTCTTTTCTAGGGTATGTTGGTGTGCTGGCACTCCCTTGGCTTTTCATTGCAGCAACAAAACCAAATTCCTTCCTCAGCCTGGCTTTCTGCTCATTTGCTTGGCTTGTCTGTGTAGCTTGCTGCCCCAACCTTCTTCTCAGGAAACTTGGCCCTGCAATGGGTTTGGCCAAAATGATTTCCTTTCCTTTTGGCAAGTAATTGGGCTCAGGTGGCTCCTTTTGGCAAGGAGTTTTCTTCATGTGGCTCCTCTTTTGGCAAGGGCTTACTGGAGGCTGGGCTGGGTGCTGCTGATGGCTCAGGTGTTCCAAACATTTTGGGCAGGCCTTGGCTGTCAACAGAAACATCACTGGTGCTCAGGACAAGGGGTAGAGGCTCTTCCCTTTGGACAAGGGGTAAGGCAGAAACTTCCTGCTCAGGCTTCTTCTCCATTAGTTCAACAGCTTCCTGGACCTGAAGGAATTCCACAGTGGTAAGCTTGTTGGCACAAGCCCCGAGGTCACCTGACAGCCTCAGTCTTCGCATGTGGACAGCAGCACATTCAGCCTTTCTACTCTTAAACTTACTCTAGGCTCTTCCATGAGGAGTTGGAAGATAGCCTGCCTCAGGTTTTGCCCATGGATTTCACCTGCTGCCACTAGTTCAATAAGCCCTTTTATCAAGGGCATCACCTTGACCAGGGCCTTGGGGTTGCAGGCCTGGGTCTTGGAGATCGGTTCATAAACAACCCATGTTGGACAAGAGCTCCCTGTGTGGGCTGATGGCCTTATATAGGAGGCCAGTGTCAACCTGGGGTTTGGTGCTGTGCCTGTCTCCGCCCTTGGTTGACATTGATCCATTTTGGCAAGGGTTCTGGAAAACCATCTCAGGCAATGTCCTTTTGTCAAGGAGTCAAACTTGAAAATCTTGATCCAAAAACTGCAGGTTGAAAATCAACAGGTTTTGCAAAACTGAAATCAATAGAAAACATCAAGTTTCAAATCAACAAGTTAGCAAAAAGACTGGTGCCCCAAAAAATATTGAAAAACATCAATAAGATTTCAACCCTTGAAAATCAACAAAAAAAGATACATTTCTGCTGATCAGGATCAGCGCCCGATGCTCAGGGAAGCAACCCTTCCTTGGTTTCATCGACACATTTTTCTGCAGAGGCTAATATTACCCTGCCCGCTTTTGTGCCTAAGCCTTCGTCAACTCAAACAAGGACTCTCACATTCAAAAGCAGCTTGATCTTTCCTTTTCTCAGGGCACTCCCTGCCCAGGTCAGGAACATCAAATTCCACCTTTATCTTTATATACTTATGGCTCCTGCCCCAACAACAAGTCTGCATATGGCAACCATGCCGGTTGGGGTTGGGTTCTTCAGTTCGAGCCGCCAGTTGATGGGTATGGCCCTGTCGGCTGCAGCCTGCCTTTCCATACAATAGGGTCCAAGAACACCGCCGAGTTGCAGGCTCCTCTCGAAGCTTTAATTTTTTTCCCCATTTCCCACCGACTCTGCCAATAAAATTCTTCCTTGATTCGCAATATATCCTCGACATCCTTCAAGGTACTAGCTTGCCTGGCTACCATCTCCCACTCATTGAGCTCCTTTTCCATACCTTATCCTTCAGACTCACTGGAATGCAATTGGCTTTCTCCTAGGCCCGAGCACGTGTTGGCAAAAAAGGAAATAAGCTTGCTGATGCAACTGCAAACAAAGGCACGCATCAACTCGCGCCAATAGGCAGGCACGCCTCCACGCCTCCTTTCCCTCTGCTTTCCTTCCCCCTCTCCTTCGCACAGGCGCCTATTTCACAGCAATCTGACCATCTTGCACACATCTGCCATGATATTTCGCCCGTCACATTCATTCTTGCGACTATCTTCTCCTTAAAGACGTGGTGCTCACATGTGCAGATGATAATTTCAATATGTTGGGAATGGAGCCCACTAGTAGGTTTGAGCTTCAGAAAGTCGTAAGGATAGCATCAAATTTACAGACGTCAATGTCAAAATGCTGCGCATGCCATGCGGTTTAGCAATGATAGTTGCAAAATGCAGTACTGCAAAAACTATGAATGCACTAAATCTTGCCCCCGTATGCCGCACATTCTGTGCAAGTAAAAATTCTTCAAAAAATGCAAGCATTCTGCAGTGTACAGGTTTTTTGCCTCGGAGCGCTGTGAAATCACAACACAGTTGTCAGAGATGATTCCAAATTTTGCAAATATCACGCAATTTGCAGGTGTTAGCTTCGCACTGCTGCAAAATATTGTCCGATGGCGAAGCTCCGTGCACTGAACTGATGTTGCATCAAAGCAGGCAATGTACAGGTGGGAGCTGCAAAATTTTGCGGCAAAGGCAACGCGGCTTAGAGATTCTAACAGCAAACGACCAAAATATTGTACACAGATACTTTCACACAGAGGTGCTTTCATAAAAAACAGTTTTTACACAGACATTTACACATACAGATGCTTTACCCAGGGATGGTTTGACACACACACAAATACCTTCGCACACAGGTGTTTTTACACAGGGATGCTTTTACACAAAAAAGCTTTCACACACAGACGCGCAGGTACTTCTTCACACAGATGCCTTCACACAGCGATGTTTTTACGGAGGAATGCCTTTACATGCACGTGCTTTTACACAGGGCTTCTTTTGACACAAAGAAGCCTTTACACACAGATGTGTTTAAAGTAAATACTCTCACGCAGAGATGTTTTTATACAGAAATTAGTTCAAATTGGACCAATCGTTCAGAAACACACTAGAACACCATCAAATTGCCAGAATGGAGCTGGCTTGGCTTATCTTGGCATGCTAGATGGGAGTTTCCGCATGTTGACAAACAAAGTGGACCTGCTTAACGAAAGGTAAGAAAATCAAACCACTGCCGGTAGGTAAAGATTGTTGAAGAATATGACATGACAAACAACTAAGGCGCTCAAAGACAGCTTTGCTGTGCACCAGGCCGCTATAGACATTGAAACAAACTGGATTTTTCTGAATTTGTAAGAAAAACACAATAGGCCCATGTTCTGCGCAAGAAATGTCCCCAGGAAATTCCAAAACTGCTTTGAATTCAACAAAAATGCCGACAGTTTTCCCGCACAAAGTGCGCAAATTCACCGCAAAAATACACAAATATCCGCAAAAGCACGCAAATCGGGATTTCTTAAACTGCTGCGGTTCCTGCATGTGACAAATCGCATCAAATCGCAGCTTGTTGGAATGAAAACTGTTAGTCCCGCAAGCTATGCATGCTTCAAACGGACGATTTTCAAATATGCTTAATATTCCTGCATGTTTCAAGTTTTGAATCTGGGGGGGCTCCAATCACCAACGCACAAACTCTGCAAATTTGAGGAAGCGCGGGCATTACATCACCAGCAATTCCAATGGCTGAATTGTGAGGGACCCATTGCGGCAAGATATTTTAACCATCCGTGCCATATCAAGGTGGTAGTCAGAACTGCTGCAAGGAGTTCACTTTTTGTTGAAACCGTTTACATTTAAGATTGAACAATCGGCCCAAAAGTGTAGAAATCCCAATCGTGCAGAATTTGGAAGGTCCAGGTAAATACGCACATATATATATATTTACATGCAGTTTCGTGATGTTTTCCGATTTTTATACCCTGCAAACTTCTATCTGTAGTTTGTTTTTTCAAAAATCAATACGAGTTGACAAATTTTCATAAAACTTAAGACATTTTTCTTTCTGCGATACTTCTCTACCTAAGGTTTCTCACAACTCGTATGAAAATTTGAATTTTCAATATCTGCCAGAGGGCTATAACGATCCGCAGCATTCAGCCTAAGTGCAGACCTGGCTGACCCGGCATTTTTTTCTCCAGAGCAGCGGTGACTAGCAAATGTCCCTTCGGGCAAGACCTGCTTGCTTCATGGATACACGTTTCTCCTTTCGTGCAATTGCTTCTGTGCGCCGCAGCCGGCCAGCAACGATTGAAGTGAATCCCACATCTTCAAGCCATTCACCCAGCACCTTCGGACCGCATGTGAAATAATTGTTTCCCTTGCCCGTAATCCTGTCATAATTGAGTTCTGCAAAAGGACTGGGAACCATAGTTTCGATAATGATTATGCCTCCAATTTTCAATCGGTTGTAAAGGATGCGCAACGCCATCACGGGGTCTGACAAGTGGTAAAGCACTCCTGGAAAATACACGATGTCGAAAACTTCTTGCATCTCCTTCACATCAAGCTCGTAGAGGCTGCGCGAAATAGTTCGCACCGGCAATTGATACGAATCTGAAACATATTGCGTGAACAAGGAGTACTTCACTGCTTCTTCAACAGACACAATGTGGCTGGCCCCAAGCGAAACAAGCGCATAGGTAGTAGATCCCGTCCAAGAACCTATGTCAAGAATTTTTGCGCCTGAAAAAGTTTCTATCGGCAAACCGTATCCAACAATCCATGCAACTATATCTTCAAGCCACTTGTCACCCATGTGATCCGTCACTTCGAATTTGTTATCCCCTGCTCCAAACCAAATGTGATGCCCCCAAAACCACTGCACGGTATTTCCCTTCTGCCCCTTGGCACTCTCGTATCCTTCAACTTCAAGGTTGCCATCGTACTTGTCTTTGAAACTGGAAAGTTCTCTTTTGAAATCAGCGAAAGACAAACCGTTTCTCAGTTTTTCTGGCAAGAACCTGTTTGTTCTCAAAGTCACAACTTTGTTTTTAACCTCCTGGTACATGGGCAAAGATCTGTAAGCAGCATTGGGCTGTGAGTATGTGAAGGTTTTCTGTGTGGGAGGCATTTCCAATTTGCAACGCGTTCTGTCAGGGAATTTGGGACGGCCTGTCAAATCATAATGATTCTCCAAGGAAGCCCGCATCACATGTGGCTGGAATTGGTCGTAATTCCAACTGCCACCATTTTGAATGAAAAACAATAAAAATATCACATTCATGCACACGGACACAATGGCCACGGCAGGATGCTTCCACATCTGGAGGAGCATCAGAACAAATCGCCGAACAGCGTGTCAAAACAGAGCCCAAACAAACTGCAAGATTGGGCGTGCAAACCATCACAACACGGGCAAAATTCAATGCAACCGTCCACACCCATCGATTTTGTTTTGATGGTAATCTTACACTGCCGCAAAGTTCGGGAAATCGTATGCGTTTGTTTGCTGCATGTTTTTCCATGCGCATAGTGATCAAACTCTTTTAGCCCATGGTTTGAACCATGAAAATTGAGAACAACATGTGCGTCTGAGTAAATGTGCTTGTGAACATTTCCTCACGAATCAAAATCATGAGGGTTGGCCTGAAGCGCGGGGCATCAAAAACATATTTCAAGGATAGAGGTAATGAGAAACTGTAGAGGCAACCGTTTTTCACAGAAACAAATGAAGGGGTTAAAATATGAAGGGTCTCCTACGGTAGGAACGGTGCTCGGAAAAAACCTGATAGAAACAACGAACCCGAATGCATTTTTTATTTCTAATCGCCGTTCACTGCGCAACTGACATGTGATTGAACGCTGCAAGCAATCTCTCACTTTTTGCATGGGGACCTCACAACGCATTCAGCCTTTCTGGCTGTGGGTATGGCACAGGAGGAGTGTAGGGGCAGGAGGTGGGTTCTCAAAATCAAAACACAAAAGTTGGGCCCTCCCGCCCTCCACACTTGAGAACAAAAGCAACGTTCACTTGAAATTGCTAACGCATTTCACTCATGAAATAAAACTATGTCACGCGTGACAGACGCTTATTTCTAATCGCCGTTCACTGTGCAACTGACATGTGATTGAAGGCTGCAAGCAATCTCTCACTTTTGGCATGGGGACCTCACAACGCATTCAGCCTTTCTCCCCATTTTCAGAGCCCTGAATGCTAAGAGGTCCTTCAATTTTGCTGCAGCCAGTTTTGAATGATCTTTGTATCCATCTTCCAAAAGTTCTGTCACGTCGGCTCTCGATGGTTTGTCTGCTATGTTTGAATGCGATGGCACTCTCGCCAGCCAGCATGACGTTTCTATCTGCATTTCAAGTTCAGTAAATTGCACACAAATTGTCAACCACTGCATTGTCAGAAGACCCTTTTGCCTCATCTTTCCAGATCCAGTAAGCCAATACGCCTGCAAGCGTTTCTGCTTCAAAAATTATTTGTTTCTTCGTCGGCTCACCCAGAGCAGCGCTCTGTGCTGCATCCAAAGAAATTGAAAAGAAAAACTTCTCACCAGAAAATCCATCTACCAGTACTCCACCTAACCCACATATTAGGTTCTTGGACTCTTTCTCATAGCAAGCATCCGTGTAAATCACCACAGCAGGTCGTGAATCCCAAAACACAGTGCGTGGCTTCCCTGCAGAAAGGAGAGAAGAAAACACTCGTTTCTGTCACTTGCTGCCCTCCCTCCCACCAGAGCATACTTTTACGAAAGCTGCTGAAAGGTAGCAAAGACATGCACCCAGGTTGTGTCACCTAGGTGCCATACCTCACCGATGATTGGTGCATGGGTGTCAGACAGTCACCCATGCAACGCAATCCATCCCTTTGAAATTTCAAAAGGCTGTGGGTGGGTGGGAAATTTCAAATGGGGTGGATGGGGTCACCTTAAGCCAAAATGTTGCCCAAAGGTGACCTCATTCCCACCCACCCACCAAACGTGACATGCTCGTGTTACATTCACACGCGTGTTTATTCCAACACTCGTTTCTGTCACTTGCTGCCCTCCCTCCCACCAGAGCATACTTTTACGAAAGCTGCTGAAAGGTAGCAAAGACATGCACCCAGGTTGTGTCACCTGGGTGCCATACCACACCGATGATTGGTGCATGGGTGTCAGACAGTCACCCATGCAACGCAATCCATCCATTCTAATCATCGGCATCACTTGAGGAGGATGAACTGTCTTCATCACTTTCAGGGAGCAAGTGACATTTCGGGCATGTCCTGTAGGTGTGAATTAGAGGTGCGTTCTCTGCAAAGGTCTCTGCATTAAATTTACCTGCAAATCTCCACCCACACTTTGTTTTCCAAGTATGGGGACTTGCAGTCATAAGGATAACCGCCTGGTGCTCAACACCTGACGTCGTATTGATGACCTTCTTGACCTCTCTGATCTGATGGTCTTGAAGGACAATTGAAATGCCTTTCAACTGATCCGAATGATCATCTACCTCACGCTTCACTGTGGCCAGATCGCTTTGTACTCGATTGAGTTGTTCATGCCATTGCCTGTGTCCTGCCAGCATTTCCAAAGCGTTGACTCGTCTATCCAGCTCACCAAAAGAAGGATCCTGCGTCCTGTCCAGTGTGCCAAGTCTCTGAGAGTCTAAGGGCTTCAGCCTCTGATTGAGACTCATCAGCGGCGCTTCTGCCAGATATGTCAAAACTGCATTTGACCCCCATCTTCCCAGCAATTGGATGGTGATAGGGTCCAAGCCCGCTGCCGAAAGATCTCTCGCCCCAGTAATTCTGAATGTGTGACCCGACAGTCTATGATGTCCTTCTGAGTCACAAACCTGCATACCAGCCATCTCGGCTGCTTTGCGAATCGTGTTGACCACACCAATTTTCGTGCAGTAGTTGCCATGACTGTCCGGAAATAATGGCGAGTCCGGTCTCACTTCCTGAGCATCCAAATCCGCACAATGTCTCAACAGTATGTGATATGGGCACGGCAGCTCTCTGTCGCATACACATGACCAGGTTCTCTTGCATCCTTTCGCTTCCCAGTCCGTTTTCGACACCGGCAACGACAAAGTTACCGCTCCCTCACTGAATATCACATCTGCCCTGTCGACTGCTGATGCTTCAAGTTCACGAAGTGGGAAGGATGTTGCACAAACTATCAATGCTAATGGATGTTCCGGTCCTCCTTCAGCCAAGTTTGCATCCCTTCCATCCAGCGCCTTGACAACCGTCGTAAGATCAAAGGCCTCAGATCGTGATGCTCCAGCCAATCCCCGCAAGACAGACCTAGCGCATTTTTGCGAAGTCCTGTTCAAGGATTCATTCCATTGATATCCTAACTGCAGGTGGTGGTCTTTGGCCCGACTGAGGTAGTTCTTGAAGCTTCTGTATCCACCAGATTTGAACATGGCGGATACTCTGACTAGACTAATTTCAGTCAGTGGAAACGGCGGTTGGCCATCATCTCCAAACCAAGCTGTGTGCAGTTTCACCCAGGTCTTAAGAAGTGCATCCCTGGGTTTCTTAGACGTTGCAGCGTACATGTCTGACAACAAATGATCCAGTGCAGCCCGCTTTGATTCCACGGTGCTGCTTGCACGGACAGCCTTATCAAGATCTCCTTTGTCGACCTTTCTCACTATAGGCATATCCAGTCTCTTACGTCTCGGATCGGCTTCTGGGTTGCCTCCCCCTGATCTATCAGAGTGATGCGCCCTTTCCGAGACAAGCACCCCAGAGCCGCACTCATTAGGATCACCTGCTACAACATTTCTACGCCATTGCTCTTGTTGAGCAATGAGACAAACTGCTGGCACTTGTGGGAGGAAGGCCAACCTGCTTAGTTTCCTACGCTTCATTGCCAAAATGGCTGCATGAGATACCTGCTGAGCCATCAATCAATGCTTGCACGTTCAAAAAGCTGCCACAGTATATTGTATAAACCCTATACTGTTGCACCCAACCACCAAGAGCGGATGGGTACCGTCTACTTAACTATACCCATTTGCCAAGAGCAAGTAGGGTATCGGCTCTAGGTATATATATCCTATGTGCAACAGTCTCTCTCAACGGCTTTACTGCAATGCAAGCAAAGATGCAGTCTCTCTCAACTCTCAACGGCTTTACGGCAATGCAAGCAAAGATGCAGTCCGAAGAAAGATAAAAGAAAGAGTTCCGAAAGACCCTAATTCAACCACGACCGACTGCATACACTCAGCACACTTTTCCCCGCACACAACGGAAGTCAGCATTGTGCAAGTGCTGTGCTACATCTCTTCTGCACCCCCATGGTTCTGCTGTTGGTCTGCCGGGTGCATCATCTGTCTTTCCATAACTAGTGTTTTCCACCATTTCAACGGTCTTTGACCTGGTTGCACTTCTCTGGCATTCTTCAAGGTGTCCGGCAGCTTGAAAGTCTTTGTAGGATCCAGTTTGCGACTCAACATATCGCATGTGGTGTTTGCGATGCCAGGGACATGTGTGACTATGTCCGGCTTCCACTGCGCTTGACCTAAGTCCAGCGAGTACTCCCTTGCTATAAGGGTGAGCGCCTTGGATCCTCCTTTCAGCTTTGTAAGCATAACCAAAGATCCAACATTGTCGGATCTGATTTGCAACCTTGCACGTTGTCCGTGCCAGTGCTGTGCCCAATGGCGCAATGCCACTAAGCCAGCAAGCGCTTCCCAGAGTTGTTGGCCTTCGTGTTGCCCGGCCGCAACTCCCAAGATGTTCTCATCATCTGCAGTGATCTCTATGGCGAAGTATTCCACAAACACGCCATCGAGTTGTAAAGTGGAACCCATTCCAAACGGAGATGCATCCCAAGTGATCGTCACCATTGGCAGCTGCTTCTGAAAGCCCCTGACAGAGTATACCCTGCGAATACCTGCATGTTCACCTCTCAGAAAAGTCAACAGCCAAAGTATGGTGTGCTTCACCTGCTTTGTCCAGATGCATTCCTTGGGGGCATGGCTGTCTGTCACATAGAGAGCCGTGTAAAGTTCTTGTATGAACGGCCTCCAGCAGAAGATAACTGATGCAATAGACATAGCCTTGCCAATCACAGTTCGAAGCATCTTCTTCGGCACCACATTACTCTGCAGCATCTTGTGAAGCAGCCCTCTAAGCTCCATGACTTTGTCCTCTGGCACCAAGGCTTCCATGCCTTCAGGGAGAATTGAGAGTTCGACTCCAATCCACGTCAACTTGCAGCCCAAAGTGGCTTTGTGCAATGCCAGTGGAAATCCCATGACCAACCACGACACCAGTATCACTGCAGTGAGGCGTCTTTGGCGCACTTCGGATCCACGTATGGTGAACAGAGGATCGTCCACATAAGTCTGCACTCTCGCTTCC